GTTTTCAACATTTCATCAAACGCACCCTTGTAGTAATTTATTATTGAATAAAAACACATGTAGGCCTGTAGCTTAAAACACTTCAGCACTAAACACAGTGAAAGTTTTTGCTTAATTATACAGTAAAACCAGTCCAATTACAAACAAAACAGGGAAAGCATGCTGCGTGTGCTGTTAATTAGCACAACTGTGGTATTCTGGCATAATCCAATCTGTTCCCTGTGGTCTCCAAATGAACTGGAGTCCGGATAAATCATGTTGTTTTCCACACTTTTCTCCATTGAACACTACCCTCCAAAGATGTTCAATCAGAGTTACACATGCAAGGAGGATGTCCACAGGCTCCATTCACTAATTTAGCCTCAAGACACACACCACAATAATTTAATGTGTTTAAGATAAACAATGTACAGGCAGAGTGGTTCAAATATTGCTGTTCTGGGAGTTTCTTGGGAGGGGTTTTGGTTTTGAGAAGTTGCAGAGGTATTGGAACATTGGTAAATTCAGAGGAAATGTTCAATAATCCCTAATAAAACTTTAGTCCTACCTGTACTAATGAGTTCAATTGAAGCTTGTGGCCAAAGAACATAAAATACACTGTGATGTTGTGTTTTGCTGTCTTCTGATGTTTCATTGACTATACAAATCCACTATAGAAACATAAGAGTACATTTATTATACCACAATGGGGAATTCCAATGTTGCAGCGCAAAGTTCCAGAGCACAGGAAAATACAAATGTACAATCAGTAGTCAAAATAAATAACTCCTAACTTTTATTTAAAAAAAATATATACTTGACCAATATTAGAAATACTTAGAATAGAGATACAAAAAGCCATGAAGATATCTCTCTTTCAGCTATGTCACTCACAGTACAATATATTTTTTTGTTTTATCTTGCATCGGGCTACAGAGCACAGCACCTCAAACCAACCAAATCATTTTCATTCAAATTTAATTAAAGCAGAAAATCACAGCTCAAATGATGTAAGTGGGGTGACTGATTCATAAATATATGCATGCCCTAGTGCTGACCTCTTACACTGGAGAGGCCCATTGAACAGAGTGGCGATGACAAATAGACTCATTCACATGTAGACCGCCTGCGTCACAGTCAAACCAGTCCCAGTGGAAACAAGAGAGAGTCATGGGGCCAGGTGTGAGCTCTCCCTTCCTCTAAAAAGGCCATTTATTATCGGTCTCCAGCTCTTTCAGTGCACTTTATAAAGTAATTGTCAGATTTAGATGAAAATGAAAGTTCTGAATCTTTTTTTGTGTGTGTGTGTAATATCAAAGTGAAAGATTGGTTGTCAAAAAGTACCGGATACTCATTTTAATGATACTGAAATAAAAGGGACAAAATGTGACCTTTTCTGAGTAGTTTAAAATGGTCTTGCTCTTTACTAGAATCAGTATAAGACCACTTGGTGATGGAGAAACAAGAACAAACTACTATTATTTTGTGTTGAAATGTCTATTGTGTTGTGAAAATAAGTATAGCCAATATATTTTATCATTGTAATTTCAGTATCAAGCCTCTTCCCGGATTGGCGTCACCGGGGCCTCACCCTGGAGCCAGGCCTGGGGTGGGTGCTCGTCAGCAAGCGCCTGGTGGCCGGGCCTTCCCCCACGGGGCTCGGCCGGGCTTAGCCCGAAAGAGCGACGTGGGGCCGTCCTCACGTGGGCCCACCACCCGCGGGAGGAGCCATATGGGGCCGGTGCAGAGATATCTGGGTGGCAGTCGACGGTGTGGGCCTCGGTGACCGGATTTCCGGACATGGAGACTAGCTCTGGGGACATGGAATGTCACCTCGCTGGGGGGAAAGGAGCCTGAGCTTGTGCGGGAGGTTGAGCGTTACCGACTAGATATAGTCGGCCTCACCTCCACGCACAGTTTGGGCTCTGGAACCCAACTCCTTGAGAGGGGCTGGACTCTCCATTTCTCTGGCGTTGGCCGCGGGGAGCGGCGGCGGGCTGGTGTGGGCCTGCTCATTGCTCCACAGCTCAGCCACTGTGTGTTGGAGTTCACCCCGGTGAACGAGAGGGTCGCGTCCCTGCGCCTTCGGGTCGGGGACAGGTCTCTCACTGTGGTGTCGGCCTACGGGCCGAACAGCAGTGCTGAGTACCCGGCCTTCTTGGAGTCCTTGGGAGGGGTACAAGACAGTGCACCGACCGGGGACTCCGTTGTTCTCCTGGGGGACTTCAACACCCACGTGGGCAACGACAGTGACACCTAGAGAGGGGTGATTGGGAGGAACGGCCTCCCCGATCTGAACCCGTGTTTTGTTATTGGACTTCTGTGCTAGTCACGGTTTGTCCATAACGAACACCATGTTCGAGCACAAGGGTGTCCATAAGTGCACGTGGCATCAGGACACCCTAGGCCGGAGGTCGATGATCGACTTGTAGTCGTGTCATCTGATCTCCGGCCGCGTGTCTTGGACACTCGGGTGAAGAGAGGGGCTGAGCTGTCAACTGATCACCACCTGGTTGTGAGTTGGGTTCGCTGGCGGAGGAGGAAGCCGGTAAGAACTGGCAGGCCCAAGCGTGTAGTGAGGGTCTGTTGGGAACGTCTGGCAGAGCCCTCTGTCAGAGGGACTTTCAACTCGCACCTCCGGGAGGACTTCTCCCGGATTCCGGGGGAGGCTGGAGATATGGAGTCCGAGTGGGCTTCATTCTCTGCCTCTATTGTCAATGCGGCTGCCCGGAGCCGTGGGCGTAAGGTCTGTGGTGCCTGTCGCGGCGGCAATCCCCGAACCCGGTGGTGGACACCGGAAGTAAGGGATGCTGTCAAGCTGAAGAAGGAGTCCTATCGGGCCTTGCTGGCTCGGGGGACTCCTGAAGCAGCTGACGGGTACCGGCGGGCCAAGTGTGCTGCAGCCCGTGTGGTCGCGGAGGCAAAAACTCGGAGCTGGGAGGAGTTCGGGGAGGCCATGGAGGAGGACTATCGGATGGCCTCAAAGAGGACTGGCAAACCGGTGTGATGGTCCCTCTGTATAAGAAGGGGGACCGGAGGGTGTGTTCCAACTATAGGGGGATCACACTCCTCAGCCTTCCCGGTAAGGTCTATGCCAGGGTACTGGAGAGGAGAATCCAGCCGATAGTCGAACCTCGGATCCAGGAAGAGCAGTGTGGTTTTCGTCCTGGCCGTGGAACACTGGACCAGCTCTACACCCTCCATAGGGTGCTTGAGGGTTCATGGGAGTTTGCCCAACCAGTCCACATGTGCTTTGTGGACTTTGAGAAGGCATTCGACCGTGTCCCTCGTGGTGTCCTGTGGGGGGTGCTCTGGGAGTATGGGGTCCGGGGCCCTTTGCTAAGGGCTGTCCGGTCCCTGTATGACCGGAGCAGGAGCTGTGTTCGCATTGCCGGCAGTAAGTCAGACCTGTTCCCGGCGCATGTTGGACTCCGCCAGGGCTGCCCTTTGTCACCGGTTCTGTTCATTGTATTTATGGACAGAATTTCTAGGTGCAGTCAGGGGCCGGAGGAGGTCCGGTTTGGGGACCACAGGATCTCATCTCTGCTGTTTGCGGATGATTTTGTCCTGTTGGCTTCATCGAACCAGGACCTGCAATGTGCACTGGGGCGGTTTGCAGCCGAGTGTGAAGTGGCTGGGATGAAGATCAGCTCTTCTAAGTCTGAGGCCATGGTTCTCAACCGGAAAAAGGTGGCTTGCCCTCTCCGGGTGGGTGGGGAGTCTTTGCCTCAAGTGGAGGAGTTCAAGTATCTCGGGGTCTTGTTCACGAGTGAGGGAAGGACGGAACGTGAGATTGACAGGCGGATCGGTGCAGCTTCGGCAGTGATGCGGTCGCTGTATCGGACCGTTGTGGTGAAGAGGGAGCTGAGCCGAAAGGTGAAGCTCTCGATTTACCGGTCAGTCTTCGTTCCTACTCTCACCTATGGTCATGAGCTCTGGGTAGTGACCGAAAGGACGAGATCGCAGATACAAGCGCTTGAAATGGGTTTCCTCCGCAGGGTGGCTGGGCGCTCCCTTAGAGATAGGGTGAGGAGCTCAGTCACACGGGAGGAGCTCGGAGTAGAGCCGCTGCTCCTCCACGTCGAGAGGAGCCAGTTGAGGTGGCTCGGGCATCTGTTTCGGATGCCTCCTGGGCGCCCCCCTCGGGAGGTGTTCCGGGCATGTCCCACCGGGAGGAAGCCCTAGGGAAGACCCAGGACACGCTGGAGAGACTATGTCTCTCGGCTGGCCTGGGAACGCCTCGGGGTCCCCCCGGAGGAGCTGGAGGACGTGTCTGGGGTGAAGGAAGTCTGGGAGTCCCTGCTTAGGCTGCTGCCTCTGCGACCCGGCCCTGGATAAGCGGACGAAAATGGATGGATGGATGGAAGCCTCTTCCCTAGTAATGGAAACACGTTTGAAATGTTATTATTGTGACAGTTCTAACTCTCATCGTGGAAAACATGTGTTTTAGTCTGGGATTTCAGAAAGAGTGTTCAAAGAGGCATTTATTGTGTATATACATATACAGCCTAAGAGAAATATGGAAACTAATGCAGAAATCACTCATAGAGGATAGACCTTGACTGCTTTCATCTGACATGGTAATGTGGAAAGACAGCCCATTTAATATAACATTTGTCTGATATAAATAGTGTCTTGCCTTCAACTAAATAGTGTGCATATGCTTCACATCTCGATCAATTTCATAATCAAATAAAAATATAGGTCTGAATGCAGAAAGCATCATCAAGATCAGTACTACAGATTGCTTTGTTGAATGTTTGAAAACACTCTCTTTTGAATTAATCTAAAGTCCTTTCAGCACACTTTAATCCATATTATTGACTTCATTTTTCTGATTTTGGCTTTGTCCTCACACAGCTCTACTACCCTCCCTTATTGTCTTTGTTCATAGCACATCTGTCTCCTGTTCTGACACTTACTTTTGATTGCTTCCAATATACTTTCCTTTCAAACAGTGGGGCATTTGAAGACCTGTGTAAAACTATGTGTGCAATAGTACAGATAAAGCGAAGCAGGAAGGCATTTAATCTCTTCTTTATTTACAATACACTGCAGCAATGGTCTGTCCATGACAGAGCAATGCTCACTTCACAATCATCTTTATTTAAGATCACAGGTCAACTCCTGAGCTCTAAATCACATTTAACTTTGCCAATAAACTGCCAGTCTGCGTGAAAAATACAGACATGTTTTCCACTCAACATCAAAATGGCAATGTTTAAATTCTAATGACCGCACAATGAGTACAAATGTCTCCACATCAACACATTATGACAATCTTCAAAACAGTCCAAATGAAAGAGGGACCAATGCCACCCGTTCCCAGTGATTTGTGCATGCACCAGTGCAGCATGGCAATGATGGGAGACTTCTGTCTGATGAAGGGATCCCACTCCAGGATCAATCCATCTGATTTAAAGGCCAATTTCGAGGGCTGAGAGCGCCCCGGGCATTGATCTGAAAATCGCCCTGAATGTTTGCCAATGAGCATATTGTACACGACACATCCACAAGTCCATGCTTTGTGCTGTTAGACCATGTAAGGAATAATACTGTCCGTAGAGAAGCCCTGTTTGATGTATTTTATTGCACACTTGGTCAGTTTTTGTCCAGCGATCAATAATCCCACAGTGTTTTTTTCAGCAGCTCAGGATCTTGATGAAAGCGCGCCTGAACTCGATGTTGAAGGTGGTATAGATGACCGGGTTCAGGGCACTGTTGACGTAGCCCAGCCAGGTGAAGGCGCTGTAGAGCGAGGTAGGCACCCAGCAAGTCCGGCAATGAGTGTTCAAGATGTGAGTCACAAAGAAGGGCAGCCAGCAGATGAGAAACACCCCTGGAGACACGCAGAAATAAGAATAAAAATAACTATAATATACAAAAAGTACTTATATTCTTTTATTTACCAGGTCTCTAATTAATGTTTGTTTTCTGGAAGTGACACTTTGAGAGATTCCCTGTGTTGGTTCACAATGGTTGAAGAGAATGACCATTTATTTCTTTATTTTTAAGTTATGCTACAAAATAAAATTAACTTAACTATTTTGTTAAAAGAATCTCTTTGTGAATATATCATAACTGTTTGAAGGACAAAGATGAATTAAATAGTTTCCTTTCTATTGTAAACAATGGGGAACAAGGGAGATGTATCATATTGATTTTAAAATGATGAGGACTTGACTGGTAAGTGGTGACATGATGGCCCTGTCTCATTTTAACATTATGGTAAGAACCAGAAACTACATCAGCAATCTATAACTCTAAATGTCTAAATGTTGCTCCTCACAGTTTTATATCTGCTGTGCTTTGTTTGATTCTTTGTTTGATTGTTGTATGTGAAATCTTCAGTAAATATTTAAATTAAAAAGACTGTATGCTAATGCACTGTTATTAGCATTTTTTCTCTTGGTTAAAATTCAAAAATCTTCAAATACATGCAAAAAGTCATCACACCTCCAACCTCGAATAGAGAACAAAAAGCCGTTTAAACAGGAACAATGATGATGATAATATGTGAAAACTGCTACAACACATGAAAAACGAATAGTATGAAGAAAAGCAGTAAATATGTCATAGAGCTTATATACAGGCATCCATGACACCTGCTCAGACTGCCATTTAAATCCAATTTGGTCACACACATGGGGGACACTGTGGTCAGGGTGCTTGTGTGCGCTCACATGTGGGGGCTTGATCACACCAAAGCAACTGAATCTAATAGAATCTGTGACATTCGACCTCAGTGTTACAACCTGATCTGTAAGTACACACAGAGGTCTCTCATGAACGCACTCACTGACACCTCAAGGCGTGTGTGATCTGGGTTTGTCAAGTAAAGCACCAGACGTATTTAATTACACTTTTAAATCACTGTTGTCTAATGGTATCTTGCATATTTATTCACCCATTGTGTTGTATGCATTTAACAAGAACACTTTTAGTTAGCCTGTACCTGATTCATAAGTTTTTCTTGCCAAGACGACTGCTCTTTACATCATGGTAACAGCTAAATCAGAAAAAATGGAAACTGTAAAATATAATTCATTTATTTTACATTGCATTTTCTCTGGATATAACTAATGCAGGAGCTACTGACAGGGTTACATTTTTGTCCAATCAGGCACATAGAGACGGTATAAATGGATATAGCTATCCCTCAAGCTGTTGCATTCCAAATAGGGGGTTCATGGGGGTTCTTACGGTTCCATCAACTCCAATTGACTTTACACTGAAAAACTGTCACCCCTCTCTCTGTGACTGCTGCAGTGAGCCTCATTATTTTGGTCTTAAAATGTTCATATTTACCCGCTCTGCATGATCCTGGTGTTTTTATTTTTCTATTTCATCCTATAAATAAATTCCTATTCCTCATTATAATTTATAGGCTCGTGAGCTTCGTTTGACGGGTGCCGAATGCAATGGATGGCTTCACATTCCCTTAGTCCACTTGTTTATACAGTCTATAATCAGGCATATTGTTATTAACCAACTGCCTGACACTGTTTTATCCACTTTATCCTCTGTCACTTGCATTTTCAAGAGTAACAAAAAAGAACAAATAGGATAAGGAAACAACTGCACGACTATCGCACACATTTGTTTCTGTGTCAAAGGACATATTGCCTGTGGCACAAAAGACTAAATGGGTGGGGCTCATAGTTCAAACTAAAACATGTTCCTGACTCATGGTTTGCAATCAGATACAGTCTTTTTAAAATGAAACTGTTCTGAATTTTTTTTTTCTTTTTTTTACCTCTTCCTACACCTGCACTGCTTTTTTCCTACAAGGGTTAGATGGAAAAAGATTTAATTTGGATATAGCGCCCATTTTTACACAGGTCTTGCATATTATCTTGCAAACTATTTTACACATTTGAATATTACAGAAAATGATAGCAATAGTAATTTCAGGTCATATGATTTCTGTACATTTATTTCACTCACAGTTTAATGTATTTGTTTATGTGAGCGTGTCTGAACAATGCCAGGTATACAGTGCGGTGAGGAGCTCTTATACACTCCTTAACCTGAACATTTCACCACAACAGCCTTTGAATAACACCAATTAAATTTCTATAGCATTTACTGTGCGTTGAATAACAGTCAGAGGGAGCCTGTTTACAAAGAGGCCAAGTGTTGTGTGAGTGTGCTTCTATGATAAGTCAAGTGTTTGTGTAAAGCCTGTTTTGGCCGGACCAGTGGATGTATTAACTCTAAAAATCCACCAGGCTTACTGTAAGACATACGGGCCTGTCACGATAATTGCTATATCGACTTATCGTTCCGTATGTGAAAGCCAGAACAATATATTTTTGTGATCAGTATTTATCATGTATACTTTTTCTTTGCACTACTGCCAATTTTTATTTTATTTATTTATTTATTTATTTTTGGCTATATGATGAGATTTAAGCTGTTAAAGGTTGAATTATTAACTTGGTCACATGGTAAATGGTCACATTTCTCTATAGCGCTTTTCCACCTTCAAGGCACTCAAAGGGCTTTACAACAAGGAACCACTCACCCATTCATACACACATTCACTCACCAGTGTACGCAGACACTGTGGCCAAGGACACAATGGCAGCATTCATCTGTGGGAGCTGGAATCACACCAGCCAACCTGTGGGTCAGTGCATCTGACCGCTCAACCTGTGATGTTTATGTCGAGAGCTGGATTCGAACCACCAACCTTCAGATCAGTGGGTGAATGTGTAATAACTTCTATATGACTCATCAAGTTCTGAAGTGTTTCATTCATGCTCATGTTTTTTAACAATAATGCAAATTTAGAATAGTTTTTGTTGTATGAATTTGCTCTTGGGTTATTGTGTCAGTAGTATAAATTAGTATAATCGTTTGTTGTCTATTTTTACTTAAGCCATATATCTTATTTCAAAATTTGTTTCCATGACAGGCCAAAGGACATACATCTACTAAACTGCATATGACAATTGTGTTTTTGAAATTCTTGCGTTGTTTTTTATCAGTCAGAATGTGAAAAGTTGAAAAAGTGGAAAATTACAGGAGTTTTAAAAATGAATGCCTATCAAAGTCATCAAGCACAAGGCACAGTTTTGGCAGGCAGTTTCAACATTAATTTAAGAAAATAAAAGTGTGGTCACATTTTGTCAAGTAACTATTATGTAAAATTGACAATAATAGGCCCTTATTTATATTATATGGTTGCTAGAAATGTCCTCTGCCTAAAATGAGGCATAAAAGGTGATTTTACAGAATTGTTATAATGATCCGGTCATTGCAAAAACATTTTCTTTGTACGTTTGATTTTGTGAAGTATAACATCAGCCTGCCCAGGTACTACAGGTGGAAGTGCTCCAACCTGGTGCAGTGCATCTCTCCTGTTAAGGTTAATGTATATAGTGCACTGTCCCTGTCTCATTAAATAAATCAATTTAACTAAACATGTTGCATCTCCTGCCTGTGCCTGACCAAGAAGTGAGATTAAAGATACACTGTGTAACTTTCCTGCCGGTGGTCCACTTGTCTTCATGAAAATGTTACTGCTTTGCCTGTTATATTCCACAGTATGGCATTAAACATATCAGTCATTGAGTATAATATTACTTAAACTGTAAGCACTTTATTACCAAACAAAACAATGGAAAAAAAACTACATTCTTGCTGTGAGAGGTGTCACTATCACCACAGATCTGACCTCTAATTTGGCCCAGTGGCATAACCTACTTGTCTCCATGGAGATAAGTTTAATTCCATACAGTGGAAGATTTTAGTCATGCAATAACATCTCCATGGAGACAAGCATGTGGCTGACCCTCCTTGGTTGGGGCTCTGTCACCTACTTATTTCTATTGTAATGTCATTGCTCTGCCTGGAAGGTCCCACAGCTTTACCTTACATTTAATATTACAGGTGGTTTTATACATTTTATATACAGTATATAAAATACATTCTGAATGTGAGCGGGGTTGCCTCTCCATAGACCTGACCTGTAACCCCTGCACATTTAAATACCACTGTACTAGTTACCTTTTAGTGAAACGTGTGGCCCGACTTGTCATACGCACTTACTCTCAAACACAGAGTAAAGATAAGCCCGTCACAGATGACAGCATGTGACATCGGTGGTGAAAAGCAGGTGAGAAGCCCATTTGTGGCGCACCAGTATGTTCCCTGACACTGTAATGCGATCAGACACCTTTGATGAGGCTTTGGAGATGGCAGATGTGAGTGGGGCCGTAGTTAACTGGACCTGGCTCGCTGTGGACCTGGTGCTAATTGGAGCGTGTGGAAACCATGTCAGAAAACTCCCAAGTAACCCGCAGTGAGCGAGACATTGGTGACATTTCTGCACGATTTATTCTGGCTTTGTCAAATAAGCCCCAAATGCACAAATGGACTGTGTTATGAAGTCTGAGGTACAGAGTGTTACAGGTGAATGGTTTCAGACAGCATGAGCTAGCCAAGTTGTTACGCCTGTATTAGATTTTAATTTCATTTTTGTAGCATCTGACAGTGAATTAGAAGAGGTCCCAGGTCAATAGATTCTGCCAATAAAAATAACTCATTGTCATTGTCAGTGTCAGTGTCATTTTCGTATTATAATATACCTTGTGTTTATTAGTTACAAAAAATAAATCACATTTTGGATCACATTTTTTAATTGATCTATTTCTATTTTAGATGGAATTGTGATTTAATAAAATGAAAAACATATAAAAAATGTCAGTATTTATTTCATGAACATAAACATGGAACACTTTTAACAATTAACTATTTATTATTCCAAAGTTCTGTATTCTGAATGTCACCAAATGGAAAAGTAACTATACCCGAACACAGGTACTCAAACTAGTATTGAAAATAGAATCCTCAGAATCTTTTCGGTACATGTATTCAGTCACTTCCCAATATTGGCTGTGGACCTTTCCATTAAAAAAAAATCTAACCATATCATAGACGATTAGAAGTGACTGAATCTCGATCTCGATTAAAATTCAATCAATTGCCCAGCCCAAGCAGAGCATCCACAATTTACCCAGGAGGTACTGGTTTAATTTTCCACTGGCACAAATCCTACATCATCCACCCACAGGAAGCCAGCATACTGTCAAATTCAAGACTTGTTTATATTCCAAGTAGTGGAGATGGACAGAGACAGGCGAGATGATCTGCTATTACTGAATACTTTTGCAGGTTGAAATCTGTTCCTCTTTTATGCATTTTAAGAATACACAAAGAGCCGGGGCTTATTCTCACTTTTCTTCAGGTCTGCAATTATACTGACAATGGACTGAAAATGTTCTGACAAAAGGACAGGCAATCATTAACTACAACTAGATGTTTCTGCAGAGTAGAACTTTATGGTAGAATCACCAGATATTTTGCTATATACTTCTGAATTTAACTTCATTTTATTGGAAGTAGGAGTTCAAGATTTTAACTGTCTAAAAAGGCTTTTATTGTGACAACGCACTATACTCAATATACATTTTAAATCCCTAATTGTTGGAAATAACATAAATAAGATAAGATTAGAGAAACTTGATTTGTCCTACAATGATGCAATTCTACTGTTCCAATACAAAATTCAGGAACAGCAGGAAAAAGATTTCAGGCAAAAATGAAAAGATGCTATTAAAATAGACTTAGAGCTAATCATTTAAACTAGAATACTAAAACAGAGTAACTAGAATATTTGAACTTTAACTATTGAGTTAAAGCTACCATCAGTAAGTTTATTCATTTTTTTAACCAGTAGATGGCAGATGTTCCCCTGTTTCCTCCTCCCTACACCTGTCATTTGTTCAAGCTTACCTGTGCTCTCTGGTGTTCTTCTGACAGACCAAAGCCAGCACACTATCAGACTGCAGTAGCACAGATAGTATCTACTGGTGATATGAGAGAATACAGCAGGGGCAAGTCAGCCAATCTAATTACAGATGGTGACTTTAAGATACAAAAAGAGTGTAAAGATAATAAAATACAACACTGTGCAGGTACAGTAAAAATACAAGGTTACACAACCATTATGTACAGATCTCAGCAGAATCTGGCTCTTACTTGATACTGTGTGTCTGTGTGTACAATCCCTCAGTCGTCCAGGTAGAATCCACGGCAAAGGAAAAATTCTATTTGTCAATGAGACAAACCTAAACAAGTAGGTGCATTAGTTTAGGAGTACTTTCACTGTAGTTAGCTCCCCCCTTCAGGCAGATATAAGGCAGTGTCCATCAGCATCTGACCAGAATTGAAGCAGCAGCTTGGATGAGCTGCGAAATGTTTTTGACTAAAAATGTCTCGGTGACAAATTGAATTTCTCCTTTGCCTTACTTGATACTATAAAAACGGACAAGGTACAAACCTAAGGCACATCGACCGAAAATATTAAAAGTTCTTTATTACATGGGGATGGATGCCAGCGCTTTTCTACTTTTAATCTTTTCAGTCAGTGTGCCTCAGGTTTGTACCTTGGACATTTTTACAATATCAAGTAAGTAAACATTCTGCTGAGATTTGAACTCAACCCTTGCAGAGTACCTGTAATGTGATTTTAAAGATTTTTTCTGCCCTGGTAAAGTGCTCTACCTTTCCTCTTAAAATGAAGATTATACACAGACTTTTACTTTGCTCCATGTTTTTTTGCTGAGCATGGCACTCACCTAGCACTATAGCCAGCATCTGTGTGGCCTTCTTCTCCCGGGCGTGCATGCTCCTGAAGCGGGGGTTGTTGAGGTGGGACGTGGGTCTGAGAGCTGTGTGCGTGCGCCCGTTGGATAGGTCCTTTACCTCACAGCTCATGCGAATCGGAGGCCTGTCATTGGGGGTGCTGTCGTCTGCCTCCTCCTCTATGTCCTCGCGCTCCTGCTCGAGGTCCAGCTCCGTCCGGCCACATGATGCGTGACTGATGCTGCAGTAGTTCTGAGTGTCCACTGGGGGCAGCATAGAGTTCTCCACTGGCCCCGTTTTGGGACGTTTGCGCCACAGACATCCCGACAGCAGGCTGGGTTTAGGTGGAGGCTCTACACTTTGCTGTTAACACAAAAGCATACATAAAGGACTATTGTTCTCACAGGGCCGCTGCTGATAGCAATTGTCTTTTATTTCTCAAGGTGCACAAAAATAAATGTTTGGCAGTCCAATTTCAGCAACACATCTCAACATTGTCACTGTCTATATGCACAGTACTGCTGCTGGTTGGGTGGACCATTACACTCCATTCACTCCACTTCAAAGCCATTCTGTGCCTGCAATTTTCTTGTTTCCTTTTTTATAACACTTTTCATGTCTGTAATGCATCATTTGCCACGCACACGCACATTAAAAAAAGAAACTATAAAAATCAATGTCAAAAACAAACATTATATAAAATCATCTAATTTTACATTCTAACGACCTATAAATAGCTAGAGCACCCCCTGGAGGGGGTTGGAAACCATAGTTCTATAACAAAAATACAGGGGCGAATTGAAACACTGTCAACAGAACAAATGCCTAAATTGGGACACTTACATCGCACTAAAGCTGCTAAATCGTTCGTTAAAATCATGGCGGAGGGAGATAAACATCACTAAAGACCTCATCAGTGCGGCTCATTCATGTAGTACAGCTGTAATTGTGTAGCAGGAAATCCAGTGGCATTATTATTGAAGACCTGCATTTAAACTTTATTACCCTTTTTATGTCCATTTGCCTTTAGCCCCAGATCAAAACTGTGGCACTAAAACAGACACAACTGACATCTTTCAGTGTTTTTTTTTTTTATTTGCAATTGTTTTGAGTCATTCTGAGCCACGTTATATCTTTAGTTTATTCCACTGAATGCACTTGGCAAAACCATCAAAGCCCCTTTGTTTGGATACCAGTGATTGCTCAGCTTTCCTTCCTCTTCTGTAAAGATTTGTTGTGTCTGTTTGGGGAAGAGCTAGAGTATTACTGTGAACAAAAGTCAGACAGTTTAAGGCACTTTCATTATATCTCATAAGCACGGTGCAGAAAGCCACTGTAAAGACACAGGGCCCCACAGCGCCGTTAGTATTCATTGCAGAGGAGACAGACACTGAGCCGCATATAGCTTCAAAATGCAATAAATCATCCTTATGGCTTATTCATTGATCTTTTCTAAGTATTACAACATATACATTATAATTTACCGCCGTGATCATACCAAGCTGCTCTCTAACTTCTAATTACTTTTTCCTGTGAAGTAATTACCCACACCACTGTTCTACATATTTCACTGTGTTTAATTGTTTTATCTCAACATTATTTGCAGCCACTCATGCCCACGCATACACTTTTATCATCCTCTATGCACTTATATTATATTCCATGTTGACGTCTATGGAAAATTACTGTTATGCATATGAATGAAGACTTGTATTAGTATTGTAGATGCTGAATTCATTGCATCACCTATAGACCAGGTAAATAGTGACTGGCCAGGCTGCACAATCTTCATTTTGTGCACCTTTTTGCGGACCCCTGAGCCGAGACCAAGCATCAGGAACACAAACCACAGCTGAATGAAAGTACACATGACTAGCTATAAACAGTGGAGCCTTGCCTGCAGTGGATGCAAGGGTTAGCCAAGCATTAGACCACTATTCAGCAAAACTAGAGCAGAGAGAAAGTAGAGACCCAGGAGTGTTACCGTGATGTGGGATGGAGCAGATGAATATATAGCACGTACCACTTTAATCCTGATAGGTGACAGGTCTTGCTTGGCCTTGGGAGTCTCTTCTTGTAGACAGGTCTCCTAAGGGACAGCACACAGGTTCAACATAGAAATGGTTTTCACAGAAGAATGAACAGCCCTGCCACAGTCTCGTCTGTTTACAGGTATGTGGAGCTATATTTGTCTCTGTGTGTTTTAAGGAGACGCATAAATATATGTACCTGGCTGACACATGTGGAACAGGTCACAGTAAGAGCATGTAGTAAAATCAAGGTCTACTGTAAATGGGGGAAGTGGGGTTTTATTGTGGTGTGAAGGATTGGGCAGAGCGCAGCCCACTCAATAAATTTCAAGTGGTAAAAATACCTGTGTGCAAAAGACAAATGGGTTATAAAACTGAAAATTATTATTACATTATACGATCATGGTAACACTGGCCAGTTCCTCCCAGTCTCGTAAAGGTTTTGGTGTTTAAATGCACTTGGAACATGTTTTTATTGGTGTGCATGTACAGTGTGGTTAAAAGAATATAATCCACGCTGCTAGTGTTGTTATAAACATTCAGTTTTGAAAAAAACAGGCTTGTTTCTATATACCAATTTTACAATGATAAAAATATATAAAAATGCAATTTTCAATCCAACATAACTGTACATTTTCTTTAATATTACAGGTAGACTTTCAAGCAACACCATTCTAAAATTGCCAAATGTTTTAATTTGTCCAATTTATGTGCTTGTGTCAGTATCAGTACCTACTGAGATAAAGTATCTAGTTTTTAGTGACTATTGATTTTTTTTACAACCCTGTCTGCTTGTATTGATCAGTCTTCTAACTTTATTATTAAGGTTCTTACTGGGTGAGTGTTTATTTTATTTGGATGTGCATGATATGTGTATGATATTTAGTGGACTGATGGCTATGCTTTAACTGCATTTGAGGTGAGTACTAAACATAGTGATGCCAGTGCCTAGCTCTTTGCTCTCAGAGGATTTGTATTCCCAGAAGAGGAAGAAGTCAGAGAAGAGGTACACATACATATTCAGTGCAAATAGGAACCCTGTCTCTTTTAGATAAAGTAATACAGTTAGTAATGCTCGTGTTTTTTTTCACAAATCTAATCACTTGTTCAATATGCATATGCGCTGTTACCAAGATGAACTAAAAGCACTGACTGGTAGCTATAAAGTAGATTTAATATTGGCAGCACTTTCGGCAGCTTGAGTATTTTCATTTAAAACACAAATTAGCAGTAATGACTCAATAGCTTGCAAATGTTGAACATTCCCCTTTGCTGACATTTCTAGGAAGTGTGTGCTGTTCAGTAATATCATTTAATTAAACTGTCTGTGCATCAGTGAAAGTAAAAAGCAGAGTGCCTTGTCTGCAAAAAGACAAAATTACAAATGAGTAATCGCACCACTTCAGCTTAGCTCTTTCAAATAGAACCTGCATTCAAAGCATACCGAGCACAGAATACACTTCACTCAAGTATAGAAGAAAAACAAATTGATTAAATTCTTATGTCTCATACCAGAAGCAAAGCATGGTGTTTTGCCCAAGGACACATCAGCAGACTGACGTAGAAGCCCGCCGCCAACCTCTTTTATAACCATAGATGATCAATGAAGGGTCAGCCATTGGAGAAACAATTTAGAACAGTTTTGAGATTCAAAGAATTAAAAGGATTTGAAACATAACTCACATTTCTAAATATCAGTTTCAGCTCATGATCCTGTATCTTTCTCTACGTATAGATTTTTATTTACATTTCTGTCTGCCTATAGGATAGTGATACAGCTGTTTTGCTGCAATGACACAAGACACTGTAAGATATCAGCACTGTGAAGCGAATAATAAAATAATAAAATTAGGGCAGTGACATTACAACTGCTGACTCAATTTTCACCTTAAATAAATTCATTTTTCTTTGTGCATACCGTTCTTTGGCTGACTTACACCATTTGAACTCTACTCCTTCAAGGCCTGGGTCCCTGCTGATGTGTGGCTCCTCTACTCACGGCTGCCTCCCCAAACTGGCTCAACCAAAACCAATTATCTGTAACCTACTGCTAAAATCTAGGCCTTCTACTGTGAAGTTCTGTGCAATCAAGTGTATAATAAAAAATAACACAGGGGGAGACAAATCTGAGGTCCATTATTGGAAAAGCTCAAAGGGAGGCTGGTGTTGTTATTTCTCAGGAATGGCTGATACAGTGTCATTTTAAAATAGGAGGATGAGACGGATATTGACCTAACTCTCCTTGCCTCGGGATAAAGATATTCATTTGTGTGATAGATGGATCTGGGGCAACTGTTGGATTGACACATGTAGATCAAAGAAGTGTCAAGAATAAGAACTGCATTGCAATGAGTTAGTTTGAATTGAGAATAAACATTGTCACCCTTGCTCTTTTAAAGGTCCTACAAGTTACACAAACTTTTGTGAGGTTTAAAGATGCACTGTGTAACTTTGTGGATGGGAGTAAGTCACCTGCTTGTTTCAATGGATATGTCATTGCTCTATTTGCAATATTCCACAGTGTGACATTAAACAGCTCTACCTTACATTTATTAAATTACAAGTAGTTTTATAGCTCAACAGTAACTGGAAAAACAGGCATTCTGACTGTGAGTGGGGATGCTTCTCCACATATATGACCTATAACTTAGGTTAGGTTTGGTCTCTATGAAGATAGAAAGATTTAATACCATATTGTGAAACATTCCAGATAAAGCAATAACATCTCCATGGAGAAAAGCGTTTGATGGACCCTCCACCAGAAACATTACACAATTAAGCCATGTCATAATGTCGTCACATCCTCAAAAACATACCGGAGTTTTGTTTCATTCACACATGTTTGATTAACTCTATTATTAGTCTGCTACATCTCCAAAGCTCAAAATGCTCTGTTACACCTTATGATGTCCTGTAGTGATAGTTTTCAATTTAACAGTTGCCTTTTGTTCAGTAGAGATTGGCAATTCCAGGGCTGAAATTATCCAAATGATTTGAGCGAAGGTGTATGAAGTTTAAAAAACACAGTGGAACATTTCCTGTATTACCACATGACATCACAAGGTGGAATAAAGTGTTTTCTGTTTTAGAGAAAAACTCAACCTAAATATGCAGGATGTGTGTGTTAAATATGCATGAATGAAAAAACAGAACTCCAGGTATACTTTTGATTAAAAAACAATATAACATAGGTCTGAAAATAGCATAATATGGGCCCTTTAAGGACTAAATATAAGGCTTCAAATGCAGTTTTGGAGCTTGTGTAATCAAATATGACATCAGTGTTTAGTGTCTACAGACCCCAACTCTGACCTATTTGTTTGTTATGTATTTACCAAGCAGGTGCACTCAGAATCACAGCTGCAACTGCTTTTTGGAGTCCTCAATCCTTCGGAGATTTCTGCCCCCGCCACCTTTTTAACTTAGCACTGAGACACTTACCGTACAACCTGCCTACGCACTACCACCATTTGAGCTTTGCTTTATGACTATGATTACACGCACATTTTACACCCAGGTGGATAATGATGCTTAAGAAAACCTACAAAAACACATTGAGCAGTTTGTGTTCAGAAAGGGTCAAAAAAAGAGAATGCTTACATTCACAGGTGAGTGGCAATTTGAATATTATTACCATCAATATATATACACAAGAAAATGTGGAAAAGTTACTCAAGGTCAACCATCAAACATTTTTTACAGCTGTATTATATTTATTAGTAGATAATATCAGAACCATAAATCAAATATAGCTTAATGATCTACTCACTAGTGTGGTTCAATTAATTTAAAGTGTTATTAAGAACAACTATTTGTCATTTACATGTTTATTTGACAGTATGATGCAAATAGCATGCAAGCAAGGTTATTATGGAAGAGACCAGATGTGGCGTTCAGCTGTGAATCACATATAAACTTAATGTAGCTGTTGTTAGCACAGTCAGCTGCTGCTTGAAAAACACTATTCACTCCAGCCCCATTCACACGCATTTTGAATGAGGATGACTTAACAAAAATATAATTGATATGAATGCAGTTTTCAGCACACTGAATGAACAACAACCCAGCATGTGCAGCAGTAATTTATTTGGGGCTTTTTTCTGACTAAATTTGATCTGCAGAATTATTAAATATTCAAAGCAATGTCCAAAATAATTGAAAATGACTCTAGTGCTGAGTATTACCTGACTGCTATTTGGTATTTATTATTCTATCTGTGAAGTTGATCATTAACTTAGGTTCATCAGATCAGTTAGGTTCATCAGAAGTACAATGTGTCTCAGTTAAATCTAGCGTAAAAGTCATATAAGCACATCCCTTTGTGGAATACTGTACTATATACCGTTTGGTTATCGACTCTTCCCTTTTAGTGGTCTTGAGAATAACTTGCATTTTACTCATATTTTTAATTTTATTCTGTCTCAAGGCAGTACATTATAAACCCAAAGCAAGTGGCCTTTGATTCTTCCTTTTAAAAGGATATAAAATCATACAAGAGTATGGTTCATAGATGCAGGCTCACTACACAGAACATATCACTAAGCTCTGCTGTAGCTTAGTGACCAGTGCAGGGCACATGTAAGCTGTTGTACCAAGAATCATCATCAGCATAACAGATTTTACTCAACAATATTCTTAGGTTTAAAAATATTTTCACTATCACTGTTGTGAATGCTCAATAACCTCTGTAGTCTTTGTTCCAGCCCAAAGTCACAATAGAGTGCAACAGTTTTTCCAGTTTCCCAATTATGTATCCCATAGACTAGGGGTGTGTGATAACTTATGTCCATTATTATTTTTGATCCAAAAACATATTCAAAGTTCCAGAAATATACAAGAATTTTAAATGTTGAACGTTACACATAGAAAACAAACAAATAAATCAATATATAAATAAATAAAGAGTAGTATCAGGGAGACATTATGCATAATTAATTGCAAATCACTAAGTTCTGTTTGGTAGCTACACTATTTTAATATAGATATGCTGTCTGTTTATGTTTCACCCTGACATTAGTGCTGGCCAAAGAGCCTATAAATAGTGTTTCTTACCACAGATGGTGGGACAGAGCCAGGCTGGACCTTCCCGCTGACCTGGCCGAAGGCAATCCTCTTCCGGCGCATCCTGAGGAACACGTAGATGCGGATGTAAACCAGCAGGGTGACGATGAACGGCAGGTAGAACGAAACCACAGATGAATAGATGACAAAGTCCGGGTTGGAGATGGAGCATACCATAGGGTCATCTGAAATATATGCAAAACAACAGCCATGACATTGTCTATATGTGTAATTTATGTAAAGAAAAGATGACCTACGACCTTTGAATATGCCCTTGCAATCACCTTTCCTGCCCTAAAGTGCACTTCACGGAAAGGATGGAGCCATGATTGATTTTATAATAAGCGCAACATAAATTCAAGATAAGTGCCCTTTTACATTATAATAATAATAATGTATGGACCAATTTCATGATTCTGAGTTAAATGGCTATCAGCTCAGGGCTAATCATATTGTAAATTGAAATTTCAAAATAAGATGACACTGCGGAGGTGAGTTGTATGCTCATAAACAAGTGATTTGCTGCTCCCTGGATGTTGGTCTGGATCAATATCACATACCCCACTACACACAACGATAGCAATGAGGACAGACAGACCCAAGGCTATTTCTAGCATCAACCGTCTGCCAGTAAACAGTGTTGCTTTGTGTATCTTTCCCATGTCAAATGACCACGTTGTACGAAATCATTGCTCTAAAATATCCTGAAAAGGTTGGACTTCAAAAGACTGTGGCCCCATCCTCCCATGCTGTGACATATAAAAGGGGACTAAATGCTGGAATTTGCAATCAAGTTCCTTTGTCTTGCATTGATTGTAGAGGAGAGGAGTAGACTAAACCCAGAACAGCATGCTTTACATTGGCCCTGCTGTGATTGTGGAAGTGCAGTCATTTGAAACAGGAAATAGCCAATGGTCATGTCTATAAGAAGTCTGTGTGTTCATTATTGTTACAGTTATTAGAATATCCTTGCATCATTCTAAACAAATGCGGTGGAAGTTATTTTGTCATGCTCAGCTATTTTTCACCACTCAAGGTTATAAATAATTCAGCTCATTATAGAAAATGATACCCGCCACCCACTGTCACCCAATTTAGCAACAACACAACAGTTTGTAAAGAAAAAGAGGCTCTTACATACAGTAGTAACCTAGAATTACAAAATAACACACTTTAAATTTAGAATGGCAGGAGCAGTTTCCAAATTCTGAAAAATAACTTCAAGTGAATAGTAAGGTTTAAAGGTTCTATATTGCGCAAATTGACTCTTGTAAGCTTTAAGCCATGTTATAATATTGTTAACTCATTAAAAGCATACCTGTAGTTGTGTTTGAATAAGCCTTTATCATTAATCTATCTACATTTCCCAAGCTCAAAATGCTTTGTTCCACCTTGTGATGTCACAAAGTGGTAGTTAACAAGTTAACAGTTGCCAAGCTCAAAATGCTTTGTTCCACCTTGTGATGTCACAAAGTGGTAGTTAACAAGTTAACAGTTACCTTTTACCTTTAGTCAGTAGAGAGTGGGGCTCTCTAGGGCTGAAATAATAGAAATGATTCCAATGAAGGTGTATAGAGTTTAAACACACAGCAAAGAACTTTCTGTATTACTGCATGACATCACAAGGTGGAGTGTTTTCTGTTTAATAGAAGAGCACAGTGTAAATATGCAGGGTTTGTGTGTTAAACATTTGTGAATGAAACAAAACACAATTCCAGATCTGTTTTGGTATGAAGCAACATTATAACATAGATCAGAAATTAGCATAATATGGACTCTTTAATTATACAGTAGTTTACTCCTGACTGTCTGTTTTGGATGAATTAATACCTTATTTTTTCACAACATAATTTAACTTCTAACCTTTCTACAGATAAGATTTAGTCAAAAAGCCAACCATATTGTTGATATTATATACATTGCCTGTTTTCCCATTACTATGCACCACGTCTGATTGGTAAACATAAGCAAATACTAAAGCTGGTGAGCTTTTAACTATTCAGCAGAAGCACAGATTTCGAATAAAACCTTAAAAGGCAATTTCCAGAAGGCACTGGACCATAAGAGCTCACCTCACCCTTAATGCACAGTGCAGCTGATTTAAAGTAGTCCATGGGATCAGAGACTCTCATTCTCTTTTAATGAGAAGTTCAAATGGCAGCTGTCTCCCACACTCACTTAGACCTGTGTTTAGATGGGACTCTTGGACTCTATTTGAACATCTAAACACTGTACTGGACTTCACAAATTACATGTATCAAGACCCCAAAAACGTCTGTGCATCTGACCACCTCAGTCACTGACTAATGACAAGGACATGTTTCCTCAAGTCCAGAAGACACATACATTTAAATGCAAACTTTAATGCAAGCTTACCCTGAAGTTTTACATTCAATACAAATTACTTGATCTGTGTTCGCTGTTGTACAGAGAAAGTAAAGGCAAACTAATTTTAGTTCAGCCATATTAGAACACTGTCGGGAAATATGGTGGTACTGTCACAAAACTGCCTTGGAGCAAATGCATTTTGATACCTACAATTAGCCCCCACTCCCCATTATGTTTAGTATTATAGGCATAAGTGTCCTATGCATCATACAGCCCTTGGACACTTTAAATTTGCAACAGGCACTTAAATTGTCCAATCTATTTTTCTAACTTTAATGTATATTTGTACAATTCTATTCTTTGCTCATTTTATATTTGCTGTGTATGAATACCAGTGTTGGGAGTAACGCGTTATAAAAGTAACGAATTACAGTAATGCATTACTTTTTGCTGTAATGCATTAATGTAAGGCATTACAGGGGAAAAAATAGTAATATTTTACTTGGTACAAATGTGAGTAACGCGCGTTACAATGTTTTTTTAATCTGGATTGAAGTGGTGGGTTTTTCTTCATACAAATTCGCTAAAATCACCTCGATATCAGCAGCGGTGAAACGCCGGAGATGCGCCCTCATAGACCTTCAGGTAACCGCGGGCGAAACGACTGACAAAGAACTCCACGCTGTTTAGACCTGGTTTAGACCTGGGTCAGTTCTGGTTTAGACCTGGTTTACACTCGTCCCTCCCTCTATCGCAGTCTCGCTGTTTCGCAGATTTGTATTTTTTTTTTTTTGTGTGCAATTTTGCATGTCTTTTTTTTTTTTACATTATATGAATGCGTATTGCGTTCCTCACGCTGCGTCCTGACTGGCCAAGGGACTCCTGTCTCCTGTACAGTACAGAATGTGTTCAGCTGCCAAATTTAAATACATGTTCAATCTCTAGCAGTGTGATTCTGAAGTGCTGTACGGTTGCAAGTTTTCTCCCCGACGAAACCCACAACGTCGACGAAACGTTCTGCACCGACAAAGGCTCCTGCACTCGCACCCAAAAGGCAGAGGAAGATGCAAACCATCACACAAAAAGTTGGACTTCTGGACACGCTGAAGGAAGGTAGAAGTTACTCGCTGTAACAGACTCTTGCACCGGCTCGGGTACCTGCAAATAGTTGCTGAAATCAGGGCCGTGAGCCCGAGCAGCAGGGTGTCCATAAAGAGTGATCGGGTGACAGCCGCTCTTACCTCCGTGAGGTGCGGAGCAGAGCCGCTCCTTTCTCCTGCGGTCACCTTCGAGCCCGTCCCTACAGTGAGTCCTGTTTTAGTCCTAGTTCAGTTCTGGTTTAGTTCTAGTTCAGTTCTAGTTTAGTCCTAGTTCAGTTCTGGTTTAGTCCTGGTTCAGACCTGGTTTAGTCCTGGTTCAGTCCATATACAGCGCAAAAGTTATTTTTGGTGAGAGTAACTTAAAGTAATGCAATAGTAATGTAATGCCTTACATTTTAAATGCAGTAATATTGTAATGTAACGAATTACTTTGAAATGACAGTAATGGGTAATAAATACCGCATTACAGTTTCAAAGTAACTTGCCCAACAGTGATGAATACTGCTGTGCCATTTTTTATATTGAACTCGTCTGTAGTATTTGGATGGACTATGCATATGTTCAAGTTGCTTGGAGTAATCTGGAAAATCTCACTATCTAGAAAAGCTCACTACAGAATCTGTAAGTGGTAATATTACAGTGCTAACAGCTATCCTATATTACACAAAACTGACCTTTGTGAGCTTTGAGTCATGTTAGAATGAATCCTCAAAGACATGCCTGGAGTTGTATTTTGATTTATTCACACATGTTTGAGTAATTCTTTATCATCATTATTCTAGTGAAGGAGAGTTTTCAGTTTGAGAGAAGAACTCATCTTAAATATGCAGGGTTTGTGTGTTAAACATGTGTGAATGAAACAAAACACAACTCCTGGCATGTTTGTGATGAGAAAACAATATATTAACATATATCACAAAATAGCCTAATACTAAGGACTAAATATAATGCTTCAAATGCAGTTTTGGAGCTTGTGCAATCAAATAGGACATCAGTGTGTACATTTTGTAATAGCCTCCTAGGTCCTAACATAATTGCAGTAATTTTTCATGTTCAGCCCAACTCAAGAAGATGACTTTGGTGGTTTGAGATTTTTGGCTCTAGAAATATTTCTGATTGGCCGTGGAAAGAGCCAATAACATATGCTGCAAGGTCTGAGGAGTGGAATGAGACTGAAAACCATTTGGCCCAAAAATGACTTGGGCAGTTATGCTATGAGGCCAGCGATTCCCACATTACCCAGTTATCACCTGATTACTCTGACCTGTGGTATTGAAGCCAAACAGCAGAGGACAGGAGACCGCGAAGGCCAGGACCCAGACTGTGGCGATCATTGCAAACACTCTCTTCCTCGACCGATGTGTGGTGTTGTACAGTACAGGCATGACCACTGCTGTGTACCTGTGAGAAAACATACAAAATAATTAGGTTTCAGATACATTTACATATGAGTGGTGGGTGAAATTGACAAAATTAATATATCACTGGCTATTGTTACAAGCGCTCCAAAATCGAATTAATATCTGATTTCTACATCTTAAAATTACTGCACTGTGTCTGTTGGAGGGTCTGTCACCTGCTTGTCTCCATGGAGATCTGCCTAGAATGTGGCCATAAACTTATGAATCTTCATGGATACTTGCAAGTCAATTATAAGTTAGATTTGTGGAGAGGCGACCCAACTCATAGTAAGAATGGATGTTTTAAAGATATTTTTTATCATTTAAAGCAAAGCATGCACATCACCATGGAGACAAATAGGTTGCAGATCCTCTCCAGAAAAGTTGTGCAGTGCACCATTTAAAGATATGCAAACTGCATAATTTGATGAAAGAAATCAGAGGGACCATAATCAAAAAGAACTCAGATGATTTTGCTGTTTACATTGCATTTTAAGAATCTTTTAGCTCCAAGCTCTGAGTGTGCATGTAAGAGCAACCAATGCTTTATTGGAATTCTCCCGAAAGCCACAGTCAGATAATATTTTTGCAGTCCATTAGAAATGTGATAAACTGTGTCTTGGTTAAAATTCAAATGAATAAAATAAAACACAAATGAGCAAAAGTATATACCTGGTAACATTTAACAGAGCCATAATTAAGCATGAAGAATTTATTCATAATTAACTATTATTATTACTTATTAACAGTTATAATTACTATTATTATTAATGATTCAGGCTTAGTAACTACTTAATTAAGGGTTAAGACTTAAGGTATAGGGTATGAATTATGTAGTTAAACCTGAATCATCCTTAATAAACAATTTGCATTATGAATGAACTGTACATGCTTTATTGAGGGTAATTAGGGTGCAGTCATTATAAAGTATTACCATACTGTTTAGAAGAATATACAACAAGTTTCTTTGTAAAAATAAAATATTTTTGCAACTTTTTGACAGTTTTCTCAATTAAACACAACCTACTACCATAGTACAGTACTAAAAATGGCCTAGAAAATTAAGAAGCATGAAAAACAGAGATGTAAGCCAAAGCGGACTGCTCAGAGAAGATAAGTATAATGGGGCTTACAATGGAGCAGCATACCAAGCATTTCTGTGTTGAGACAATTTGGGTATTCAGCACAAAACCTGGCTTTGATTTAAGAGTTCATCGGCACACTATATGCCAACTGTGTATAATGAGCCTGCAGAGAACCAGGTTTAACTGCGGCCACCGGTCTGGGCTGCAATTACGCTGGACCCCGACCTAAAATGGATGTGATGTTAAGTCGCCAGAGCCAGAAAAATGCCACGATTGTTTATCCTCATCAAACTAATTACACTGGGGTGGTACTGGGCAAGCACGGGGTGGACCAAGGGCCAAATCAACAAATAACATTTCCCAAATTGATGTTTTATTAGGTTTGCTTTATCTTCACACCCCTGCCAAGAAGCTATCTGCTTGCATAAAACATGCAGAACAAATATGCACATTGATCAAAATCTGAACTATTTATACACAACAAAGACACCTCACCTTGAAGTTGCACGTAGGAATCTGCAGTTCATTTCTGTTCTATACTGCACCATCCTGACTGATTGTTTCAACAGGCCATTAATCACAGCTCCTATGACAACAACCACAGCTTGCAGCTAAATAAACAATAAACTCTTAAAGTTAATCAGACACGTAATGCCCCCAGTGCCCCTTCCTTAATTTAGCCTCTCCGAAAGCATGTGATGGCAGCATTGTCAGCTCATTTGGTAATCAATCACCACCAAGCACTAGCAGCAAGGAAGGAGTGCATCCCCAGAAGAACATTATTTATTATAGAGGCTAACATATATCTACTCAAAGGAGATAACTCATCGCAGATAGGGGGCCAGACCCTAATTTAAAATGTTACTTCTTTTCTGAATAGGTTGCAATACAGATTTATGTCAAATTCAAATTCATGCATATACCAATAAAGCAGCATTCATTCAGAAACTCTATGATGCCTGTGTTTGTGATGGAAAAAAAAAAAAAAAAAAATTCACTATCTGATTTGATCAACATCAACAAATGCCTTGAAGAGACACCCAAAATATAATAATTTGTGCTTTAAATACAGTGTACACTTTTGGTGTTAGAAATTACTCAGATAATAGTAATTGTATAACTTTGTTCTAATACTGATTAAGCAATCACAGGGCAACAGTGTCACAGTAGCCAGTTCATCCACCAACCAAAGGGTGACCAGTTCAAAGATGGGACACATACCATTGTTGAAAAGCAGACAGAGACCCAAGCTGCTATTGTAAGACTAATAAAGTCAAACTAATAAAACTAATAAAAATCAAGTTTTAATAAAATCTAGTTTTCAGTTTTTCAAACAGCTATGAAAAGTTTTTAAAAAAACACCTGTTATACTCAAATCTGAAATTATTCATTTAACACTTATCCAATTAATAGGTTTTATTTCATTTTTAAAAGCCTAAAATTACAGAATAGATGAGATGATTTAAACTCCCTTTCTCTTTCATCTGGTTAGTCCTGGCCCACAGAATGTGTTTGGTGTTTCAGACACAGCAGTTGCTCTGCAGGCTGAAAGCACAAAGAAAACTATTGTTCAGCTTTTCATTTTATCGATTCACTTTGGAGGTGTTTGAAAGAGCCTGATCGAGACAAAGTTTGTTACTTTGTCTTGTAGAGTACACAATTCAAGACAATCTGTGTAGTTTTCAGTGTTAGACACAGGAGTGGGTCATACTGACAAAAATACTTAATATTTACTACTACTATATTAATATATTTTAACCCAACATGTCTTTAAACTAATAAGTTAAGTTTTAAGTAGTATAGATTAATGTTAAGGCACACTTAATTTCCCTCATAGGGAAATTTGTCCTCTGCATTTGACCTATATGACAATATCCACAAAAGTACAGATATATCAATTTATCTCCTTATTATGAAGTATACAACTCAAGTGAGATGAGGAGAGGTGTAATCCCTTATTCGTCCAATAGTAACCCAAGTTAGAAAAGGTCATCTCTCATCTGGACACCATTTTTAAAATCAACATGTTTCGACTCCCATCCAGAAGCCAAAGGAGTTTTTTCCATTTTTATTTATAATCAGCTCTTGTACAGCATTTTTGTGCTCTGAACTATATACTCAATGTTGCATATCTTCAAAACAACATGTCATAAATATTTAGATAATCTGTCCATCTCTACATATCAACTTTCCTAAAAAGCCTTCCTGAACATGAATGATAGTAGTGCTATATGTAATACACCACAGCCTCATTTATTCTTCATACGTGCACCTCCTGAAGCCTGGGGTCAAGAGTTCAAATCCCAGGAGTTTTGAATATTAATGCGGACTCTAAAAATATGTAAATAAATAATGTACATCCTATATGTGCCAACAGTAAATGTCAACTGCTACAGTGTGTACATGACGTATATAGAATACTGCACTACAACATTTTTCTCACGTTATTTGCACCTCATAGGCGTGACTCTCAGGTGCACAAAAGCGGAGTTATAGTCTACCACAAGGTTCAAGCTGTGTGTAAAAACTGCCTGAAAGTTAGATAATGTTTAAGAAATTACACATTCTCTTGGAGTTTTATTACAATGTGTCTTATTCATGAAAGTTTCTGGTGGAGAAGTTTCCCTCTAAGACATTAACGAGAATTGTAAGTAGCATTCATTCATGTTCTGAGGCAGACACATTTCTCATCAGAGAACTGCCTAAATACATTGAATGACTACAAACAGGGCTTGTTCATCACTTCCAGGACATTGAATTGACCATTTGTTTGGCTGATTTCAAGTAAATACAAATTCTCTTTACAAACAATGGCCAATGCTGTTATATCAAATAAGATAAATTTAATTTATTCATTTCCTACCCCCTGTATTCAGGCTGTAGAGCAGAGTGGTGATGGTTTATGGAGGTGGTGTTTTATAGTGATGGTACTTTCATGGGAACGTGATGGCTCTTTCATGGGATCCAAATCTTTTGGATCTGTTCATTTCAAAGAGCCATTTCAAAGAGTTATTTTTGTATTTATTTATATGAGAGAAGCCAATGATAGCTGCAATATCTACAAACTAATCACAGAGAGAAATGACCAAAGCTTAGATTTGATTAAATTGTTGAGACTGAAAGTGGGTGGAAAGTACTATTTATAGTGCATTATATTACTGTAGTACTATATTATATTAATATATATTATTATATTATATTATGCAAAAGGATTTCACTCATGTTGCCTAATCTGCTTCTGTTAAAAAATTAGATGCAGTTTGAATTTTGAACCGTTCACATTAAGGAACCACTCAAAAGAGTCGACTTGTTCATGTGTTTTACATGTTTTAGTCTATGTCATGACTATGTCATGTTCTTCTGTGTATTTTTCTGTGTGGCAGGCTGTGTGTCCATTTCATTCTGGACAAATTAATCTTAACTCGTGCTGTTATAATTCCAGGTTCAACAACAAGACCAACAACAAGAATGTCTTACCACCTAATGCTATGCATACAGTTAGTTATTGAGTGCTATTACTTAAAATATTTAGTTACAAAAGACCGCTTTGTGTTAAGAAATAGGAAAATTGTATGATATGCGTGTGACCTGCATGTGATATCTTCAGTACTTCCTATAATTCCACTTTTTTGACTGATCTAATTATGTTTCTTTCCTTTTGGCATTTCAGCATGATTTGGCAAATCTTCTTGGATTATGCCTTTGTGGCTCATACTAAAAATATAATACTTTTTAATGGGGCATATAGTTTCCTTGGCAATAAGTGGTAAGAATATGCTCGGCATCAACTTTTTGCCTGATTAAATTTGAATGAATGAAAATTTCACACATCAGTTTCTTGAAATGGATGTGTTGGAAGAGAGGGAGCATCCCAAAAACATCAATAGAGAAAAATATTGCACACCATGTGCAACTGTGAATATTATTAGGACAGTGGGAAACAATGTTTTCAGCACAAGGCCTTCATCAAGAGCTGTAGGTAGCCATCTTAATTAGGACTAGATGTAAATCATAATCATGTTTTACATTACCCCCCCCCCCCCCCCCCCCCCCCCCCATTTTGATGCGGTGCGATGACGATATGTTATTTTGGTCATACCAAGATTCACTTCTTCTATGTGAAATAAACTCTACGCTCAAACACTCTTTTCCACAACCACTCTTCCTGTTGGTCAGCTGCTGTCATACTTTGAGTGTGTGACAGGTGGATTTAACCAATTGCAGTGACATGTGGACTCTCAGAAGAAACAGATAAACTTATGACTTTAAGATAATATAAAACTAAAGTGTACTAAAATTTAAACTGTGATGTAAAATGCACTAGAAAATCATATTATTTATTGCCATACAGCCTAGCCCTACTTCTACAACAACAAGAATGAGCATCAACTTGATTTGGTGTGGTATATGTATTTCTTTATAGGATCAGGACTATATAATGCTGCTTCTACTTACACTGCACATACTCTGCTCCTCATCTTGTAAGCAGTGTATTGTGTTTGTAGCAATGATGGAGGCGTTGCAGTGGGGTCGTGGCCTCTACTCACCTGTCTATGCTGATAGCACACAGGTTGAGGATGCTGGCGGTGCACATCATCACATCCAGCGTGACGAAAATATTACAGTAGAGTCGACTGAAGAGCCAGGCCCCCCCGACCACCTACAAGAGGACAGACACACAGAGTTTTCAGGAACACACATACGCCTATGCAATTTCACAGCAACGTGTAAAACAGCTATTTCAGTGCATATATACGTACCCACTATACAACCACCCACGCTTTACATGTGACATACGGACAAAGAACATGCAAATTAACAATAATAGCGGGGTAGTTAGAGCTTTACGGGGCAACATAAAGGCTACATCTAAACTGCTTAATATTCTTTTCACAATTTTAATGTACGTATGTTAATAGCCTTCTTAATTAGGCTGATTTTAGCTTAAATTAGCATGAATATGAGCTAGTGTTGAGTGTCCGGTCCCTTGTAAACATCTAAAGGTGGTATAAATAATGTGACAGAGAAGGTGTTATTAACAAAAAAATTATAATGACAAATAGCAAAAAGGAGTGTCACATACAATGCCTAATTATGGTCAAGGTTGTCTCCACAAAAAGAACATTAACCCCCAAGCAGCAAACAGCCTCCTGCCAACAGGGGCCTCTGCTCAGTCCGACAGCCTTTCACTTAGGTCCATAATGCCCGGTAATAACAATCTGACAGAGATGAATGGGAGCCAAGCGACTGAATCCTTTACCTCCAGATTGGGGATATACAACGTGTCTACCAGTGTGCGTAGGGACTGGGAATACAGGAGAAGTGAAATAATGGCCCCTCATGGATTAAAGATGACAGTTATAGAGACATGCAAATGCACGTTTATATGCATATACATTGGTTATTAATATGGTTGAGATTGAACGTGAAATTGACCACATTTGCACAAATGTATTGGCCTCAACTAAAATGAATCAGTTTGAGTTATCGTGGCATTATTTCCATGGCAGAAATAGGAACAGTAGTGAAACTCCTTTGGGATTAAGTGTCTAATATATTCTAATAGCCATACACAGAATTAGTTCACAAATGCTTGCCCATATAAAATACAACACATGTTGCAGTAAGTCTAATTGTTATGGATTCCGGGTAATAATCCTTGATCAGACTAACATTATGACAAACCAGTACCAATGCATAACCACCTCGCATTTATTAATTAAAATTATGCCTACTTTACAGTTTTTATTATTTTTGAAATATATTCTGCCTATTTGTTGAGAAAATTTCTCATATATATGGGGGGAAAAAAATTACTAAGCCTTCAAATCTAATTTGCTTTCAATTATGGTCTGTTTATAGATGTCTCTTGGTAACAACCCAGCTTGAAGAGACATTGTATTAGGAAATACTCTGTATCTGGTCCAAAGATTAAAAACTACAAACTAGAGATTATACCACTATAACATTTTACATTAAAATAATTTCAAATATTGATATTATTTTGTACAAGGGAAGAGGAAAAATACCAATTTTCAATTCAGTTTAATTTTGTCTAATTAAAAACAAATACAAATGACTCTCCATATCGACTCATTGAACATAAATAATACAAATTTTAATTAATGCCATTTGAGAAAAAAGTGAAGTCTGCTCTAAGTGGAGTGTTGGATCTCTCCTTTGGACCTGGTTTAAAATGGTCCAATAATATCATTGACAATTAGACATGACTTGATCTAGATTAAAATTTGATTAATTGCTCAGCCCCATGTTAATTGCAATTAAAAATAAATCATTGTATCCATTAATAATACGGAGAAAAGATTTTATATTTCTTTAAGAGCCAACTTTCACTTTGACCAATGGAGTTCATTTGTGGTAAAACAGGGCACATCAAAAAGTTAGTGAAGAAGAACACATTAGTCAGGAGTTGTCAAAGTACAACAACTGTATCTAAGAGGAACCTGGATCCCAGGCTAAATGCAGTGAGAGACAGATCTCTATAAGGGGGTGGTATGTTTTTTATCATTACAATTTGCCACCACTGACTTACAGTCTGTGCATATTTTCATTAGGACCAATAATAGAAGATAAATCACTACCTGGAAAAAGCAACAACTTCTTTGTGACAAATTAAGTGAGTTCTCCAGGCACCTTCAGGCAGAGCTATTTTAGTACCAACAATTACATTCACATAACTGAAAAGTTTTCCTTTGTGCAAATAATGTAAATACTGCTCTAACTAGGCTCTGTGACAGTGTAACTAACCACACTTGGTCATCAAGTGTCTTCTGCCATTGATTTGACTAACATTGAAAGCCTGGTCTAGATTGCCAGTATCCAATTAAAACTATTTTAAGATGCACAGGGTGTATTGAAATAGCAGCGGTCCACATACACAGGCTGGACGTGCTCAGAGTGAAAATTCAATTGTGACTCAGTGGGCAGCTCTATAGATCCATACAGTACGAAATGTACCAGCAGAGGAGGATGCCACAGGACATTCACACAAGACTAAAGAACAGTGAATACCATCACTGATCTCCAGCCCCACTCCATCAGAACAATATGTGCAATGCTTTTCTGCAAATCAATAAACTGGCTTCTTTTTAATGTTGGATCGGCCCATTCGTTTCAGTGTTAAAACTTCAAGCATCAAAATCACACATTTTTACTTCACAAATAGAAAAAAGTACTCACTTGTCCCTTTGCTGTTATCTTGCACAGCAAGATAAACTCATGCAATATTTGTGAGTGGGTAGGAGCAATTGGACCAAGCCAAACAAACCAAAACAAACATAGTGCCCAGCAGCAGAATAAACTGCAGTTACAAAGGGGTGCAAAAAGAATACATTTCGTACAAGGGTCATTATTGAACATATCTCATATGAGGGGCAACAGCTTTCCCATGATCCTCATGGTCAGCAACTGCATAAAAGTTCGTAGTGACTATTTTAGAAAACATGCAGATAATTTAGTTTTAGTAGTAGAGGGATGGACACTGTGCTTTTGTGATTGTCTTTGCTTTTCTCAGCAAAAGATGTATAGGATAATATGCAAAACTCACTTATCAAAACGTCAAAACGTATCAATACCCCAATACTAGTCCACACTGAAATGAGTATCAAAACTAATATTCATTTACTGTCTAAAATTTGTATTTAGAATGTTTATTTACAATTATCATCATTATCATTATCATAATTACAGTACAGAAATCAATATCAAATATCAAGCCCTTTACATAGTATTCTTCAGTAGTATAAATTATACTATGACAGTGACAGTACTAATGGATGGATGAAATCGGTCATTTTAAGTATAAAGGGTAAAAAAATCTATAAAAAACACGAATTTATTGCTGTAACAATGACACAAATACATTAGAGGAAATTTAAATGTCTATCTTCAAAAATCAAGCATAAAAACTTTTGAAAGAATGTTTTTTTCTTCATTTAATCTTTTCTCCCTGAAGAATGTCTTTCTTTGAGAGCAGTCACAGATCAATTGCCCATTGTGGGATGAAGCAGCTTGCTCAAAGGCACATGATTAGTACCTGCTGCGGGTGAGAGAGAGAGAGTCGTCCTCAGTCTGTTACTTCCTGCTAAGACAAATATGAAAGCTCACAGCAGAGAGCACCGTGTCATACTCAGATAATACTCTGTCCTCCGGATCACACCAGGCGCGATGACGGGACTCACACTCACAGTCCACGTGGGGCAAATTAAAAAATCTCTTAATTTTTTTTTTCATTAGATGCTGACACAACTGACCTTTACTTTTCTGGCAAATAATGAACATTGCACTTTAAAGCCATGGAGCAATCTTTCCTGACCTATTCCTTAAGGGCAGAGAAGTCTTAAATGTTGAATGAATGGTAACTCTTGAATGAAATGCATAGCAGGTGAGGTGCTCAGTCCACTAATAAGTGCTTTAAGCGATATGATCATCTTTGATTTGTGTGACATTTCAGGCCTGGCTTAATATTAAAGGTGAACTACCATTTACCATTTAACTAACATGGGTGCTGTGGTTACAATGAAATCCAATGGCATCAACTGACAGGAGTGGGATCTAGAACTTGTATAATGTGAACAAGCAGCTCTCTGCCTAGTTAAACACCCTCTTGTTGATTGTCAATTTGTCTTTTTTTGCCACAGTTTCCAACATTTTCTTTTGCAGCTAAATTTCTCAGAATAACAAATCATACCTAAAACTATACAAGACACTTCTTCTAAAGTCAGCCATTATTCAACACCATTTCAAAGCACAAGCCATCACATTATATTAACTAACCAATAATAAACTAATAAAGCCACTGACTTCACATCACAGTTTTAAACACGTGAATAAAACTGCACTGCAACTACACAAATATGTGCTCACTGCTGGTGTAGAAAGTTACAGCGTTGCACATATGTTGTTGCTACCACCTTGGCATTGTGGGTTTGGAGCACGGCCTTGACTGTAAGCTGAATGTCTCTAGGTAAGACAAGGCAAGGCAAGTTTATTTGTATAGCACAATTCATACACAAAGTAATACAAAGTGCTTTACAGAATAAGAAATACATTAAAATCATAATAAAAACAAATCAAAACATAAATAATCATGAAAATTAAAATAAAAAAAGAGAGACATAAATTGGAGAGAAGAGTGCGGAATGAAAACCTTTCAGTTATATGCACAGTTAAACAGAAATGTTTTGAGCCTGGATTTAAACAGCGTCACAGAAGAGTCTGTCTCACATGTTCAGGAAGACTGTTCCAGGTTTTAGCTGCATGAACCTGAAACGCTGACTCCCTTTGTTTAGTCCTGACTCTGGGCACCAGCAGGAGGCCGGTCCCTGAGGTCCTCAGAGTGCGAGATGGTTCATATGACACTAACATGTCACAGATGGACTTTGGTGCTTGGCCATGGAGAGACTTGTACACAAGCAGAGCTGCTTTAAAGTCTCTGAGCCACAGGAGCCAGTGCAGAGACCTGAGCACAGGACTTATGTGCTCGTACTTCCTAGTTTGAGTAAGGACCCGAGCTGCAGCGTTCTGGATGTTCTGCAGCTGTCTCACAGCTCGTTTGGAGAGACCAGTGAGCAGACCATTACAGTAGTCTAACCTACTGAAGACAAACGCATGGATAAGTTTCTCCAAGTCTGCTTTAGACAGTAAACCTTTGATTTTTGCTATGTTTTTTAGATGGTAAAAGGCTGCAGATGTTATTGATTTGATGTGGCTGTTAAAGTTCAAGTCTGAGTCCATTATTACCCCGAGATTTCTTGCCTGATTTGAAGGTTTTAGAGAGAGAGACTGGAGGTGACTGCTGACACTGTCCCTTTGTTTCTGTGGACCAAACACTATGACTTCAGTCTTGTCAGAGTTTAGCTGGAGAAAGTTGTTTTGCATCCACACACTGATCTGTTGGATGCAGTGACAAAGTGAGTCCACTGGTCCATAGTCTCCTGCTGCCATAGAGACGTAGATCTGAGTGTCATCTGCATAATTGTGGTAGGACACGTTATTGCTGCTTATTAACTGGCCTAATGGCAGCATGTAGAGATTGAACAACAGGGGGACCAGGATTGACCCCTGAGGCACCCCACAGGTCAGGGCCATGTGATCTGAGACACAGTTTCCAATTTCAACAAAATACTTCCTGTCTTCTAGATAGGACTTGAACCAGTTTAGTACAGTACCAGAGATGCCCACCCAGTCCTCTAGTCTCTGTAAGAGGATCCCATGATCGACAGTGTCAAAAGCAGCACTCAGATCTAACAGGATCAAGACTGAGACTTTGCCTGCATCAGTGTTCAGGCGGATGTCATTTGTCACCTTGATAAGAGCAGTCTCAGTGCTGTTGTGGGCTCTAAAACCTGACTGGAAAACATCAAAGGAGTTGTTCATTTGGAGAAAGTTCGTAAGCTGTTGGTAAACAGCTTTTTCAAGGACTTTGCCAAAAAAAACGGCAGATTTGAGATGGGTCGGAAATTGTTCAGTACTGTGGCATCAAGACTGCTCTTCTACACTCTCTCTCCCCATTTCAAGACTGTCCTGCCCAATGAAGCCTCTGGGCCAACAAAGAAAATGCCACCAATATACTGATTCCCTTTTAATCAGTAACATCTATCTGGTACATAGGTGTGTGTTTTGAATTCAAATGTAATGGTGAGTGGTGAGTGGTGAGTGAGTGGACTGCTTGTTACACATGGCTTGACTCAAACCACATGTAGCCAATCAGCTGCCCTTGAGTTGCTCTTTCAGCCCTTTAAGGATTGAGCCTTAGCCTGAAAGTGAATATAAACAGCTCTACTATGTATTCTCAGTCTGTATACTGTTACTTTGATTCAGTGTTGCTACCTTGGGAGCTCTGTTCACCTATCGCAGTAATATAGACTGCACCACAAGTGTCATGAGAGAATGCAACAATACAAGAAATACACATAAATCATACTGCATGTCATTTAGAGGAATGATTATGAATTGATTTATGAAAAGGGAATGCAGTCACTTGAGTCCTATTCATCTCCCAATTATCCATGCAAACAAGTTCCCAATATATTAACATTCAATATGTTTGTGAGCAATTAGTATAATTAGGAGAAAACCATATATTTAAACAGGCTTTTATCATCATTATAGCTGACACTACACAACTGACACTAGATAATAAGCAGCAAATGAGTCTCATCCTTTTCCCTGAGACTGTTGCCCCATTAGGACGAGGCTGTTGTCCACTTTGTCTGATACATGGTGCACTCTTTCTCTCTTTAGTGCCTTGTTCAAACACGCATCCATTATGTCAAAACTTGTGGCTCCTGGGCCAAATAAGGTCATTAATTACAATTTATGGCAGCCAAAACATATTCTAATTGAGTATCTAAT